TTAAGGAATTTTTTTTTGCAAAAATCTAGTTGGTTTAATAAAAGAGATCACCCCCACCACGAGTCCTGATTGCTTTTGCCTCTAGACCAATCCGGCTCCGAGCTGGATGATTTGCACAGGAACAGCACGAGACCTGCGTCTGTCAGGGAGTCTTGGGGGGTCACTGGAAGGGGAAGGACAGTGTGACCCTAACCAAGCAAGGCAGGATGCCGAGTGACCGTTCATCTCTGGCCCGCAGGCCTTCGTGCCAAGAAAACATCTGCTCTCCACGGTGCCTGTCCCCGAATGGCTTTTCACGGCGAAAACCCACAGAAACACAGGGGCTGACGGAGCGTGCAGATGTGTGCTCTCAGCAACAGCTGAGCTGGCGTGCATCGCACTAATCCTGACTGGCGTCGGCCGTGGCTTTAGCTAGCACAGCACGGCGGGCCCGAGACACACGTCTGCTAACTCCTGGCCTTGCACAGCGATACAAAGGCCCGTGCGATGCTCGCTGCCCGAAGCAGCTCGTTCCTAATGGGACCACAGCCCTAGACATGTTTTAGCTGAAACATTTTCCAACTGTTGTGCAAGAGTTTACTAGAGACCTAAGCCAATTCTGGCCATGTTTACCCTCATCATCACTGAGGATGATGATCGATTGGGAGAATCGAAATTAAAATGCTCCCGTTTGATACCCATTTCACAGAGCTGGCAGGGGCCTCGTCGAGTCCAGCCCCTGGCTCGAGGCAGGACCAGCGCTGCCTCGACCCCCATCGCGGTGCTTGTTTATGAGGCAGCAGTTTCTGTTTCAGCATTTCTGAATCAACACTTCTCAGAACATCTTGTTTCACGGATACGTGGGATCTTCGGACATTTTGTCCTGATGGGGAGTGCAAAGCAATTCCAAAATGCTCCCAACAAAAAGGAAATCCTGGCTGCAGAACAGGATCGTCGGGCTTTCCTAGAAGGCAGGCGAGCGTCTGAACTGCCCAGAGCCAGGCGCCCGTGCACCAGCATCACGGCCTGGCAAGCTTGGGATACGGTCCATCCCCCATGCACACCCCTCCCAGTGCTAGTGCAACCAGCACGCACCAGACTGGGGGTGCTTAGCAAATACGTGCAACACAGCAGCCCGAATGCCCTCCCCATCTCCCACAGCTGGAAGCCGAGTAGGACTGACAGAAGCAGAAACAATTCTGTGTTACCCTTCACGGGAGACGTCCCAGCAGCAGAGCTGGCCTGGGAACACGAGCAGGCACATCCTGTGGTCCTTGGTGTACAGGCTACCGCTGGGTCTGAAGGCAGAGCCTGGAGAACTCATCCGCGTGCCTTGCCAAAAGGATACCAGCAACCTGAGAGACTAGTAGCGCACCTCTGGGACACACGTGCACCTGTCTACAGCCAGCTGGACACCAGCCGAAGAAATTCAAGGGCTCTTCTGGCAGACCTGCCCAACAAGAAGATGTCTCGTGGTCCCATAGCAGGGCAGTTCACACGCATGGGCGAGAGCAGCCGTGCGAGGTGCTTCGGGGGCATCCTCCGTGCATCTTTTCCAGGGGGTGTGCAGACCTTGGGGAGTGAGCATAAATTCCCCGGTGCCAGGGCACACCTACCCCCAGGCTCCAGGATGCTGGGTTTCGTGCACGCCCATGGAGGGAATGCTTAGCCCGTGTGAAAAAGCAGTCATTTCTACAGGGAAAGAGGTTTCCCTTCATTGTCCCTTCCTTGTCTGCAGGGCCAAGCAGCAGCGAGTGGTGTGCAATATTGCTGGCCAGGACGACGGGGCATTCCTGCGCTCAATAAATCAAGCTGAGCCGGTGCCAGCACAGGCTGGAGCGGTGTTGACTTCTCCAGGAGAACAGGCTGTTCCACACAGCCCTTATTGTGTACATTATGCAAACAAGTCACTTAACGAACCACCCAGCGCCTGCTCTCATTAACAAATGCCGCTGTCCCGCTTGGCTTGACATTCAGCTCAGGGGCACCGGCGGATGTAAACGCTCCCTGCAGTTCATTAATGCTGGGGGGAGGGAAGTGGAGCTGACAGCTGGGCTCTGGGGGGGGGGGC